CCGTCCGCAGGCCCGCGCTTACGTTGGCCGGAGATCGTCACTAAGTATCTCTAGTAACGCTCTCTCTCAAAAGTACTAAAATTGTTCAAAAGTACTAAAGTACTAGGATTGATTTTGTTTAGGAGGAAATCAGTCACAGACGGAATACGAAAAAATATTAAACATCTAAACATATTTATTTATTTATTTATTTATTTTACACTTTAATGCACACAAAATAAGGTACATAAGGCGGACTTAATGCCATATGGCATTTTCTCCCAGTCAACCTTTGGGTTAAATGTAAGCTCAGCGAAAATGGGCCTGTGTAATATCCAAAAAAAAAAACAAAATAAATAACTAATAGTAATAATAATAATAAATACTGTATAACATATTGAATAAAAAATATATAATAAACACAAAATATGTACATACATAAATAACTTCATATATATAATTATAATATAATATAAATTGACGAAGATATAAATTAAAGAAGACACGAACTCAGCGTTGTAGCGCCTTTAAATAGGCCTCACGAACACTACGTTTAAAAGCCATTTTGTTTGGAGCCATTTTTATACTATGGGGTAGTGCATTCCATAATTTAATTACACTAACTCTAAAGGAGTTAGAAACGAAGGAAGTGTGGTGAGACGGGATCTCTAGAAGCAAACTTTCAGCTGAACGGAGATTTCGGCTGTGAGAGCTGCCCAAAATCTGAAAGCCAGATTTTAGGTATTCGGGAGCACAAGGATCATTTAGAATAGAGAAGAGCATGCAGAGGGATCTAAGGGATCGCCTCTCACGGATAGGAAGCCATTTAAGCTGAGCGCGAAAGGAAGAGACATGGTCGTATTTACGTAGTCCGAAGATAAAGCGGATACAATTGTTGAGCATTCGATCCAATTTGTTAAGAAGGTCTTGGGATAGGTCAGAGTAACAAACATCAGCATAATCAATCACAGGAAGCACAAGAGACCGAACAAGCAGCGCTTTTGTATTTGGTGGAAGAAAGTTTTTAAATCTGTAGAGAGATCGCAGCGTGGTAGTGACTCTTTTACTTACCTGAGTGACATGGTGGTTCCAACTGAGCCCTCTATCCAGGTACAGTCCCAAGTCCTTTACATGAGGAGACAACGGTATGGTCACTTTATCGAATATGACATATTATTAGCATCTAAATCTTTTAGTACATATCAATACGTCATCAGTTTGTATTCTTTCCACATTGGAAAATATTATTGATTTTTTGCTGCCCAATGTACTTAATTCTAAAGATATTACTTGAAAAGATCGATTTGTATCTCATTAACTTAAATCTCCATCAAATAAATTAGATTTGAATACTTAATGAACATAAGAATGAGAATAAAATCACTGAAGATTCCAATTTCAATTACATTCTATTGAATGGGAGTGCAAAATGACTCTTAAAAGCTTTGTATTTTATATAAAGTATAAGTATATAATAACAATGTTAGTCGACAATAACAAACTTACTGAAAGCAGTCACAATAACAATACAACGACAACAACGGGTGGAAAATGTCGAATATTTGTTGTCATTGGCGGGCCGAACCGTATTCACCCGGAGCCAATAAAAATCACATTTGAATAGACAAATAGTGTGAGATAGGATGTATCAAATACATATTTTACGTAACGGGTGTTCAATATCACAGATGTTACTTCATTGTAGGTTCTACCTCTATAGTAATAATTGTAGGTGCTATAGGGTGCGTCAATAAATCCCTTTTCATCGTCGCCTATCAAATACTGCCTATTGAATGTAATTATTATATTGATAGCATCGGCCATTTTAGGTACTGTTAAGGATAAAAACATTAGTAAAGAGAGTATTCTTATTCTTAGCATGACATGCATATCTTATGAGGATTGTAAAAGAGATGAAATTTGGAACAGGAACAGGAACATTAGGGCAAATATGCTTTTTATTCCATGGAAACGCAAGCGATGACGCGAGTATGAAGAAACTAGTGTAAAATAATGTATAACGAATTTAGTTCATGTAAATCAATGTTAGATAGAAATTAAACTGTACATTAAGGACAACGACTGATGGACTTGAGACCTGAGGCATTTTATAAAGCGGCTAAAGAATATTTTTTACAAAACTTAGTGTTGAAATTGTGTTAGACACCTACGCAATTTATTTTCGAGTAATAATAGTGGGACAATCAATCAATGTCGGCTCTTCTAAAGTGCGAACTAATATACGTCGCTAACTGTACTGTTCATTGGTCAATTATGTGGCCACTTTGGGGAGAATTCGGTTACTATAGTTTGAAGCTGCAACGTAGAATCAAACTAATTGTTCAATACAAAGATGGGTTTCTTAATTAATACGTACGAATATAGAATCAGAAATTTCTTAAATTTTTAAATGACTACACAAGAACGTTTTCAATTTGACCTAGGTATATAATATGTATGTTTGTGCGGGATTAAGTGTCTCGCGATTGGCTGAACCGGTTAAATGCGGTTTTGCGAAAAGTGTTAGTTATATTCAGGAGAAGGTTTTAGTAGATTAAACTACCATCTCCGAAAACAGAGGGGATTCAAGTCGGATTTTTTTAAACGTAGTTCATAAAAGAATAATGGTTTCCGCCTTTAATTGTAATTAAATAAAAATTAACAATTGAAAGTGTTAATACGTAGCTATCACCTATATAAGTATTTTTATAAATAAAATAATATAACATAACAACACGCCTTTTATCTTCGAAGGGGTAGGCAGAGGTGCACATTATGACACAATGTACAATGTAACACCCACTTTTCACTATTGAAGTTAGGAGTCCCATGTAGGTAGTAGGGATTTATTATAAATGAAAATCATTCAATAAGTTTGTGTAGAATTGAAATAAAGTAACATTTTAAAAGGAAACTCGACCAAGAGACAAATAAATCTTCTTTCTAACAATAAGGTTGACATGTCGGACGTTTTCTTCTTCATTTCACCCTTTATCTCGTTGGTAACTTGGTACTTACTACTTTCTAAGAAACTTTAGCGCTAGTGTAAGCTCTCAATTTTGTATGTTAACTCGTCGAGTACCGGTTTTGTAGACACAATTATAGAACAATAGGTTGCGGTCACCGGTGACCGCTTGGTGTTTGACAGTTTAAATATATCAATGTCTATAAAAAATAAGTAGGTATCATAAAACTACTTTTAACATAAATATTCGTTCAGAAAATATAGGTACTCGTGACTCGTAATATTTACATATTTGTTTTAACAATGAAATACACGTGGTAACTAAGGTAGTTATATGAGATATAATTTATTTGTTCACCATAAGAATTTTCCCTACTTATGGAATGAGTCCCATGTAATAATAGGGGTGAGCCTGTTGCCATATACCGGGCACAACTGTAGGGTCCGTGGTATTACTGAGAATTAAAAAAAAACCCAGTACCTAATACTTTTCCCAACCTGGGAATCGACCCCTTGCCCGGATGCTCGGCAGTCGCACTTGCGACCACTCGGCCCACGAGCCAGTCGGCTAAATGGATATTACATTGTACAGTGGCATTAAGTGAGACCTCTGCCTACCCCTTTGGGGATAAAAGGCGTGATGTTTATATACATAAGTCTTCTACCAAGATGTGGTCAAAAAACTAACTTCAATAGTGTAGACGAATAATTTTTATTTTAATGTCCGTCTAGTATGTAGATTATTTAAAATCATTCGTACACGTATTTTTTATTTTCTTTCGGAAACGAATTGTTTCGAAGATATATTGATTCGAAATGTCGCGTGACCTCACTTCTCAGTACATTTTATACTGAGAAATGACATTTTAGCCCCACTCCTAAACTTTGATTCGTTTTATCTAAGTATTGTTTTATTATACGACAAAATAAAAAAATACGTGTCTAATATTTTTTATATTATACCTATATTTTTAATTTTCATACCCTGTCATCATTACCATTTAACGAAAACCAATTTTTTAACTTCCTCGCTTTTACTCCTAGGCCAAAAGTAGTTCTAAAACTAGGAAGGTCAAATTGAATTACGCAATGAGATTACTACAATATGTCTTGGGTACAAGGGTACAATAAATGTACCCTTTCTTCTCAAGATTACTTGGTTTGTGGGATATTTGCATACTCTCCTGCGTTATCCATCTTATAACAATACCTTGCTGGCTCTCAGGAAACTAAGTGCATGTATATTTTACCTCCGTTAGGTAACGTTATTAACTATCTAGAAACTTAAGCACTAAAGATATATTTCCTGTAAGGTGATTTTATAACCAATCATTATATTTTTATAAATTATAAATTACTACTACTAAACTACTTTTTACTAAAAAACCGACTTCAACCCGCTCTTTTTTAAATCGGTTAATTAATATTCTAAACCCTTCTCCCAAGTATAATAAACAGTATTCAGAAAACCGTATCAAAATCGGTTCAGCTAATCGCGAGATAATCGCGCAGACTCATACATACATACAAACATACAGGTCAAACTATGAACCTCTTTTTTTCTTTTCGAGGTCGGTTAATAAATATACACTATAAGCGTATCTATATAACTTTTTAGCTTTTTTTGTAGCACTAAACTATGTACAGTTCTGCACTGACGTTTCATTGAATACCTTATTTATACAAAGTCAAAGCATTTATTTCAATTAAACCATAATTTGGTACTTTTGAAACGTCAACAAATACAAAAAAATATCATAGTCTGTCAGTCAGTCCGCCAATGAAGCTAGGTGAAACTAGGTGCTCATTCCAAAATGTAGATTAAATGGAGAAGAACGAAGAAGAAACACCATTCGTTACTCTTTTACAGAGTAGGCCATTATGTAGACATGTAAAAGAAATTCTTTTCTAAACCTTGTACCCAAGCTACTACCACTGTCGTACAGTTAAGTATATAATAAGGAGATCAGACAAAATTTTATTTTAACACTACGAAATAAGACTGATATTACGCTATTTTAATGTTCTTACAATAATACTCGAATGTTTGTTTCAGTGCCCACACTTCAAAGCGCATAGCCAAAGTAATAATAGTAGTGATTTGGTTCCTAGCACTATCACTGGCAGCTCCAATGGCTATGTCTTGGGAAGTTATCATGGCTGATGAAGTGGATCCAGGTATGTCCATAATTCAAAGTCACAATAAGATTTACTGTATAGGAAATAAGATTTAGTTTAAAATAAAATGAAAAATTATTACAGTAGGTACCATTATAAAAGTGGTTGGTCACTTTAGACAGCATGTTGCGGTAAATAAAACATGACTAAGGTAGAAAAGGGTTCAGGCTTCACGTCACTCGCGACCGCAAAAAATCTTTTTATGACGTGCATGCTATTTTCAGCCTTGTGATGGTCAAGCAAAACGATAACACAGTAATTTCTGTATGACAACAGTAAAAGTATTAGTTAGGTAAATCCATTTGTAACTAGTTTCCCCTTCTATTCATGTTCTACGTTAATTAACGAAACGAACACCCTTTCAATATTGGTCCAAGTTAAATAACGCGTGTTGTACAAAAATAAAATGAAGGCTAGTAGGCCCGGCTATTCGATTAAAACTTTCAATTAAACTGGTTTGTAGAACTCTGGTTACGGCACCACTAATCAAAGGGCAACATTATTTATTTTCAGTGTGTAACTCAGGAATCAATATAATTGCTGTTACGCAGAATTGTAACAAGTTAACTGTTTTCCTTTCCACGAAACCCACGAGCGACAAATATAGGTGTCGTTTATTTTTCAATAGGGATGATGACAAGGTATGAAACTTAAAAATCTAATTAGTCTGTCAGTTAGGTAATGAAAAAATATTAGACAAGGATTTTTTTTATTTTGTTGTAGGTATAATAAAATGATACTTAGATATAACGAATCAAAGTTTAGGAGTGGGGGCTAAAACGTCATTTCTACGTATAAAATGTACATAGAAATAACGTCACGCGATATTTCAAATAAATATATCGTCGAAATATTCGTTTTTGTAAAAAAAATAAAAAATACGTGTGTAATGTTTTAAAAGAATCTACCACACGGACATTAAAATAAAAATGAGCCATCTACCCTAATGCTAAGGCTATCCAAAATTTTTGAATTTATGTAACACTTTTTTATGTCATATAATTAAAATTAAGGAACGTTTTCTAAGTTTTGTCTTAACCCTAACTGGCTGTACGATTTAACTGATTGCAATAGTTGAAATAAAAGAGTTAGCCAAAGTTTGCATTAGTCCTTAGGTTACCTACCTATGTCTCCAGTTAGTTTATGCGTGAAAAAGTATAGAATTGAGTGGCTTTGGCATCAAGTGTCTTTCATCATCATGTCAGTCACAAGACGCGCATTGTTGAACAATTTGAACATACCTTACCTTATAAGTCGGCCCAACCCAATCCCCAAGCGGTTACCGGTAACCGCTCTCCACTTATTCCATTATAGACCTTATTTCCGATGTTAACAGACTACTTTTGTATGAACAAATGTTATTGATTTTCATAATCGTAGATTAAGAAGTTAATTCAGCAAAATAATTTCCACAATATTTCTACAAATATGGAGATTGTGTAAATAAACTGTATCTTTCTTTGCAGATACGAAACATTATTACAAGAAGCCGTTCTGTGCTCCCACCGAGTTCGGTTCACATTCGCTGGCTATTTACAGATTGTTACTATACATTTTCCAGGTGAGTTGAACCGATACCCCATGTTTATATGTTTCTTGTTTGTTTTTTTATTCCATTCGTTTTCATTTCCATGACTTTTGTAGGAAAATGTTCATTTATGTTCTTGTTATTGCGTATAAGGAAGCTTTAAATAGACGTTTTTTTTTCCAAAACGATGGGTTGAAATGAAGACGCTTAACTTTTTATCATAATTTTGCATCACCATTTTTATTATGTAAAGAGAGAAACTAACACTATTGTTAATAACTAGATATAATTCAAGAATCTGCATTTATATATTTTTTAAAAGGTTGGACCCCACTGTGATTTCCTCCTGTGACGTAGGTGCATTTACAAACATACAAGTACACATATACACATCCAGACACCAACACACCCAGACCCGGAACAACAACCTGTGGATCACACAAAGAGTTGTTCCGTGCGGGAATCGAACCCTATACACGTTGCGCAAAACCAGTTATCCAGCCACCGTGCCAACCGTGCACCCTACCACCTACCACCTACATCCTAAAGCTTGCTTGATAGTTTGTCTAAGTCGTAAAATTTATTCAAAATCACGAGACTGTCTTTTAACACATGTTCATCAAAATTACACAAAATGCTATATTACATCAGCAGATATTCCATCTATACAGGCGTACTTGTATTACACCTACATGTAATTAAATGAAACGAAATTTTAAGTTGTCATTAACTGAACAATGAAAGGCAGTTCAGCTTTATGACATACAGCCAGAATATCTTTCTTAACGTCTCATTAAATGTTATGATGTGAGCAAAGGAAATCATAACAAACGCACTCATTTGAACGTTTTTCTTTTTATTTCTTGATCTGCATGTTTATATTCAACGTTCTGGCTTTCTGGAAACAATAAAGTAAATGAAAGGTAATAAAAAAGTTCAATTATGATTCATTCTTTATTGCATATTGTCATCTGCATTATGCTGCATATTTTTTAGGATATGAAAAATGGAATTGTTTGCTTATTTTTTTACGGAACATACTAACTTTATTGATAAAGAAACTGATGGTAAATTCAACTGTGATGTGCCAAAAGTTGATCGCATGTTCTTCTGACAGCGGCTTCGCCAGCGTTCCCGTGTCTACCCGTGTTTCAAATTTCATCGCGATCCCTTTAGCCGTTTTGTCGTGAAAAATTAACAAACGCAACATACATCCTCACAGAGCACATTAAAATTTGTAATATTAGTACGATTGTATTAATATAAATAAATTTTGACTTTGACTCGTGTCACACTATTTGCACGTAGACGGACCCTTTGGTTTAGGACATTAGTTCCTATATGAGACGTTAATTATTATGAATATCTTGATATATTAAAAACATGAATGACCTATATGAACCCATAATAAAAACAAAACATCTATTATCAATGAAATAAAGTTTACCTAATGATTATGTTACACCCACGCTTCAACTGTTTTTTTTCCTAATTTATTTTAGAACTAACCTACTTATTGCCACACACACTTCTACCTGATTAATAAAGAATAGATTCCAAGAATTTTCAAGATTGTACAATTCAAATTCTGAACCATATTTTTCTTGACCTAGAATATGAAATTGAGATCTCATTCTACATCTTCTGTGATGTAATGTATTTTTTTCATCTCCCAATATGAATATTAATAGATAATGTATAAGCCTAATACCTATTGGTAGCTTTGTTATTTCTTAATAAGTACTATGTATATAGAAGCTGTTGGTATACCTATTTAAATAAATAATTTAATAAAACAGATAGCGTTCAAAATGCAATTTATAACACAAAAAATGTAATATTATCAACATAAATTTATTCACTATCGGAATACAAATTATTCATGCGTACTTTTAAACATCCATATTTAATAAGTCATTGTATAAGGCTATACGTCCAGCTACGCATAACCAGTATATCATGGTCTCGCTGGAATGATCCTTCTGCATATTTGACGGTCAATTTATACTGGTTTTGCATAGTTTGTTGTGTAACCCTGTGTTCATCGGCTGAAATTTGTGCCAGAGACGATTAAATTAATTGCCATCAGTTCTCTCATCTATGTGTTTGTTTACTTTGCTTTTAGTATGTAATCCCGTTGTGTGTGATTACATTTGCGTACGCGCACATGGCCATGAAGCTGTGGGGTGCGCGCGCGCCGGGAAACGCGCAAGAGACGCGTGACGCTAACCACATGAGGAATAAAAAGAAGGTGAGTATTTTCCCTTTGGTCTTTTAATTGTTAAGTAGATTGAATCTTTATAAAGGTAATCTTACCTTTAAGATAATCTTCGTAAAGGTAACCCATCTGGGGTCTACTTTTGTTGCCAAGACATAGTGTATAAAACCTAAGTTTCCATAGATAATTTGGGACAATGCCTTTTTGATTAATGTAGGTAGGTGTATATCTATCTACATCACCAGGGTATTCTACCTACTGCCATTGGACTATACCTCTACAATATAGTCCAATAGCTGTTAAACTGTCAAACACCAAGCGGTCACCGGTGACCGCAACCTATTGTTCTATAATTGTGTCTACTAAACCGGTACTCCACGAGTTAAATAAAGTATTACATTTAATCTGAAGAAGCCTCGGAAAAGAGAGCAAGATAGTTTAATATAAATAACGTTCATGACTGTAATTTATATCAAAGTTCCATTACAAGCAAATTGCAACAAAATGATAGCATGCTGCTATCCAGCAGCAAAATGATAGCATTATAGAGAAACCACGTAAATTGAACATGAAACGTTTTCAATCAGATAAGTAGACCTGCCTCGTACCTGAATTAAAGCTAAAAGCAAACCTAAAAGCAGGCTAGCCACTGGGTCAACACTCATTGATCAATCTAGACATCACCTTGAAATATTAGATATTGAAATTCTATGCCCCGTTACTTTATTAGGAGTACTGTAATAATAGGTATTAATTTTGTATGATGCATTACATGCGAACATGACAGCCAAGGAGTCTTAACCCTTAACAACCCACAAGTGTCTTGCGGACACATTTTTGCGTTTATGTTTTCATAAAAACTAAAGTATTTATTTTTATGAATCGGCCTTTTATCTAATTTATCACTGATGTTTTACGAATCTAAATGCGCCATTAAAACATTTGTAATATGAATAATTTATTATTTTTAGTCAATAAACGAAAATAGTACTTCATCAACCCAGAAGTGTCCAACAGACACAATATCATTTTATTTGATTCAAGTGTGAAGGTATATTGTTTTTTATTTACATTTACTTATAATATTATGGTGTCGGATAGGCAATAGCGGCTGCTGGACCTTTGTTTGTGTTATAATCGTAATCTTCAGTAATCAGTAATCAGAAACTGTTGTCAAAATGTAGTCATGTTCTAATTCGTTTTTATTGAAATATAATGGCTAAACGGCAACTAAAACAAAGTGAAATTCAACGTGCCTTTGTTGACAGTGACGATGATAACATTTATATTAGTGAGTGCGATAGTGATGATGAGAATTTTGCTGTTGACAGCTGTTCTGATAGTGACAGAATCAGCATCTGAGAACAATGATGAACAATTATGTAGTAAGAGTGATGATGTACCATTACAAGAATACGTCTCAATTTACACTTATAAAAGGAAGATGTGGAACAACTTGGAAATCAGAACCTGACAGGCAAAGCCGAACTCCTCGACACAACATAATTTGCGATGGTATTCATGAAGTGATTCTTCCTCCGGAGCAAGCTATAATAGATCCGATAGATAGTTTCAGCCTTTTTTTCAACGATCACGTATTATAAGTACTAGTAAAATAAAAAAATTACCAATACTGAAGGGCAAGAGTTTTACAAAATCGATGGTAATCAACAGACAATATCGAAATGCAAGCATTCCGAGGACTTTTATTGACTATAGGCGTCAATAAACAGGCAGATGTGTATTTTACAGAATACTGGGTCCCTATCTTTGACAATCCGATACATCAAGCTACAGTGAAAAAAGAAAGAAGCGTTGTAATATTTGCCCTTCGAAATTATCAAGGGCTTCTCAACAGTAATGTCCTAAATGCAACCGCAATGTCTGTTCTGAATATTCTGAAAAGAACAATTAAGTATTTGTAATATCTACAGTAAATAAGAGTAAATATCACACATCTCGTGACCAGAGGGCTGGTCTTTTTCTCGGTCAGAGGTTAAGCATTGCCATACAACGTGGCAATGCTGCCAGCCTTCTGGGTACTTTCCCCACTGACGTCGATGCGGACGAGTTTTTCGATGCCTTATAAATAGTTTATTTTTCCTATAATTAATTTTAATCATAAGTTGTATATATTTAATTTAGTAATATTTAGTTTTAATTTTAATTATGTAATAGTTGTTATTTAAGTTTTTTTTTATTCACCAAATAAATACCAGAGTAAATATACATTATACCGTATTTTTTAATCAAAATATCTTTAATTTCTTTCATTATACCTTACATTTATAAAATGAGTCTGTTGGACACTACTGGTCAGTTACGTCACAAAAGCATTCTGGGTAGTTAAGGGTTAAGTTGGCGATACTTCTTGTCTTTAAATCGAAGTTTATAGTCAATATGAAGTTATGAATTGTTTTCAGGCTATATAAATGGCCCTACTCTTATAACATTACAACCGGGGCTCCGGCTCGACGTGCAGGAGAAGGAACGGGGTGGTTTTTACTCAGTAAGAGTCTAACACTCCCTCCCGCCTCACCCAGGCGGGAGCAGTCATTCGATGATTTTTCCCCACTTAAAAAAAACTCTTATTACATGTGTGAATCGTATTTGACTGAAAAATGAATGATCGTTTATACCACCAATATACAAACAAAAAGAATACCCAATTGGTATAAAGAATAGAGACAGCCGTTACTTTGCGGAAATTCATACTACACTAATAACTGGGAATATAATTATTTCGTTTTTATTCCGCTGAAGAAATGATTTTGCAGCATGCAGTAGTTACGTAGTAGGGCTCCCGCCCGCAAATAAACGCTCATTCAGAAGAGATGCGACACAATACACACACACTACACGCAACAAACCGCACTCGATATGTGTTTCGCTCCTCCATCATTACCTTCAGGAGTTGTTGTCAATATTAAATTACACAATAAATTCACTCCTTCAGCGAAATAAAAACTAAATATTTTCCCAGTTGTCAGTGTACCCCTTAGTTTTATTGTACTAACAAATATACAGGTAAAAATACAGTTGGAACGTCAGATCCACTAGCAAGATAAACATCAATACCAATTTACCGTGTAGATAGTGACAAATAACGGCAAACGTAGAGTACCCTATTTCTTCTATTTACATTTTACAACTTCCGTAAAAGCGATAGCTACCTACTGGTGATATATGAACTACTGTTCTTTATATTTTGGCGCGGTAGTTTGGAATTGCATAACATAACATAACATAACATCACGCCTTTTTACCCCCGGAGGGGTAGGCAGAGGTGCACATTACGGCACTTAATGCCACTGTACAATGTAACACCCACTTTTCACTATGTAAGTTATGAGTCCCATGTAATAGGGGGTGAGCCTATTGCCATATATATACCGGGCACATTTCCAGACTCCGTGCTACTACTGAGATTTTCAAAAACCCAGTAATACTTTGCCCGACCCGGGAATCGAACCCGAGACCCCTTGCCGGGCAAGTTAGTTGCACTTGCGACCACTCGGCCAACGAGGCAGTCAAGTTTGGAATTGCAATAATTAAATAATTCAAATACTTACCAATTTTGATCGAGTAACGGCAAATCAAGGGTCAATGATGACGTCATGATTTTAATTCCTGAAGTGCACATAATCGGAATGTAACATCCATATCAGTTCAAAAATTATATAGGTGAACCTATTTTCCACTAAATCATATTACTTCATGTTACTAAGATTATTCCGACTCGGAAATTGAAAACTTCTAAACTGAAAACCACGCTTGCAACTACTCGATCAAACAGGCAGTAAAAACCTCTATAAATGTTAAAAAACATTGAACTAACATAAAATAGCAATCATCGCTATTACAACGAACTTCTTAAAGCTGATCACTTTAGCTCACCAGCCTTCTCCCTAAAGAGATATTAGATACAGAAATAGCGTTCTATTTTCATTCTAACAGATGGTTAGCCAATTTAAATCCATCTGGTGCGAATTGAATGCAATGTAATTTTATGTAAATAAACACGTTTGAACATTAGCTAGTTAAACCACATGTTACATTGGCATTCTAATGTAATTGCTTGAAGGGAATGAGGGTAATATTTTCTAGATTGGTCTGTCTCCTTACCTTTAATTTTGTGATTTCGAAAATGTATCATAAGCTTATACTGCCTCGTTGGCCGAGTAGTTGCAAAGGGGTTTTGGATTCGATTCCGGGTCGGGCAAAGTACTACTGGGTTTTAAAAAAATTCTCAGTAGTAGCACGAAGTCTGGAATTGTGCCCGGTATATGGCAATAGGCTCACCTCTTATTACTTATAACATAAATAGTGAAAAGTGGGTGTTACATTGCACAGCGGCATAATGTGCACCTCTGCCTACCCCTTCGAGGATAAAAAGCGTGATGTTACGTATCATAGCTTATTTTTTACTTTTTTATTGGGTATTTGATTCTGCTGTGAATGCCTAATAATAAAATTTCATTCAACAGAGGGTGTGTTAAGCTATCTGAATAGTGTCGCATTAGGTAGCTTTTTTCTTTTTTGATAATTGATGGACCGACGTTCGACCATTATCTCGCCTGGCGGTAAACGATGGAATACGTCGTGCCACGGAATATAGAATACAATCTATATTCCGTGCGTCGAGCCATAAGCAAACAACTTTAATTACTTTACAAATACCTAACTAAAACTTTTTGCAACTAAATTATAATCATAAAACTTATATATCATCCACATTTTTCTGTATTACTGAAAAACACTGACTTCTCAAACATTTAACGATTAATCAATTAATTAATTAAAACAAAACAAGAGCCAAGATGGCCTACATTAAACTGAACATACGGAAGATTTCACACGCAATTACCTTTCGTAATTAATTGATTAATTATCCTCATTCAAAGCAATTAAGTCGAGCTGATACTGTGGAACTTGAAATGTGTCAGTGTGACATTATTTTCCGATACTTTATGACGTCGGAGCTGGACTGACGTAAAACGTAGTTCAAATACAAACGTTGTGCGAGAGCCAGTGTAGGTTTGTAGATATTTGTGTCTGATGTCATGTTCAACTGTGTTGTCTATCTTTAGATGAGAAAGTTGAAAAATATTGTTTATTTAAAGATGGAGATATTTTAGTCGGCTGTTATTGCCGATCAAAATCATACCTATACTTGGAACAGAGGCCTTAGTACAAGTTTAATTTACGTTTAAAGTATTCGACACGAGTACGCGTTCGGCACTCTGCTTGGTCGGCGCCAATGAACCAACCAATCAGAGCGCCGAACGCATACTCGTTACGATGACTTTAAGCGTAAAAAAAACTCGTACTAAGGCCTCTGAACGGTGAGAAATATGACAACAAAAATTTTAATTTCATATCACGGTAATAATACTTTATGATGATTACAAATGATAGACGAGTTTGATTTTTTATGGCATAGGTAAGCCGGTAAACGAGCAGACGGATCACCTGATGGTAAGCAATCGGATTGAGAAGGTTACGCTTCGTCCATAAAAATATTAGATCTAAAATAAGAAACACAATGCTTTACGGACGTCTAATTTTCCACAGTATGAAAATAAAATATTTGGTAAGATTTTCATGAAAGTGCGTTTAATCTGTGAGGGGATTTAAACTGCAACAGGTTGAATAACAACTTAGCCATTAGACATCGAATATTGGAATGAGCACCTAGCTTCACCTAATTTCACTGACGGACTGACTGACAGACTATTATTTATTTTGTAGGTATTTGTTGACGTTTCAAAAGTACCAAACTATGCTTAATTGAAATAAAGGCAAAAAAAAATAAAAAAAACTCACGCTAAAATAGGACATTTTTTTTTTAAGGGGGGAAAATCATCGAATGACTGCCCCCGCCTGGGTGAGGCGGGAGGGAGTGTCAGACTCTTACTGACTAAAAACCACCCCGTTCCTTCTCCTGCACGTCGAGCCGGAGCCCCGGTTACCCGTTAGGTTCTCCGCGACACTAATATAGGACATGCGGCCTAAAAATAATAAATATTCCAAGGGCGGGCATGGCTTCTTCAATTTATTCCTTTATGTCTTCTAAAACTATCGTTAATGTTAAAAGACATTGCACTTAAAAGCTTTCAGTTAAAGTACTTTTTTTATTGCTATTATAGTACTTTTACTTTTACCAGCCTTACACTCTAGTGTTCAAATTTAAACGAAAAAGTTTTACATTTACACTATTTTATTCCTAGAAAAAAGACCTTTTATGAGGTAGTTGAAGGGTATTTTGCTTTTATATAAAGTTTACCTGCTCAATCAAACTTATAAAGGACTGTTACTTACTTTTATTGTGCAATAGCATTAACTTTGGTCCCTACATAAGTTCGATTTCGCACTCCAATTCAATTGAACTACGATACAGATTTATAAGGGTATGAGAACCGCCTTAGAACTGAGTAATTTCATAAATTATTTAAAAACATTAGATCTTAAGTAGATGAGGGTAGGGTTAAAAATTGTAGGGCAATATTTTGTTGAGTCTACCGTTCCTGTACGTATTTATCAATTGTGTAATAAGTGTATTGGTTTTATATCGTAAGTAACGGGACGCACTTTTCGAAATTTCGCCAGTTATTTTATTGGATTAAAGTTAAAGAACGATACTATTTTCATACACCGATCATATTTCACATACACGGGATCATAGTGCCCCAGTTTTTTTATAAAACGTACACCCAGCCATAGCCATCTGCGCAAAGGCCGTTAGATAACTTTACTACAAACAAAATAAAATACATACAGACATACAGAGTGTCAAGCACGAATAACTATCGCATATGTAACGTAATAGTATCGAGCGCATTTGACGCTCTGATTGGCCGGCTCGAGTGAACCAACCAATCAGAATGCCAAACGCGCTCGTTACTATTACATTACGAATGCGATAGTTATTCGGTTATTCGTAGAGAAGATTTCTCTATATGCGGTACGAAAGTACCCTCAAGGATATTGGACCGCGTACTATACGAGAGCCCATACATCCCTGATTCGTACGTGCCTTTACCAAGAACGCAAGTTTTAGTTCAATGTCAATTACAGTTAATGATGGTCTGAAAGCAAAAAAAACTGTTGAATTTTTACCCCTACGTAGAAAATTCGTAAAATCGTCGGCGTCCATTATCAAATGAAGGTCTATGGTGGATCATATATCAGAGCCAGAGGGAACGTTTGATAACAAAAGAGTGTGGTTTCACTGTAAACGACAAATATGGACAAAGTGCCTAGTTCTAAAGATTACTTAGAAAAAGATGATACAACAAAATATGTGAACTAGAGTAAATAGGTACTTAGTAATAGTGACCTAGTGAATAATACAACTTGCTAAATCGAAGACATGATTTAAGTGCATATGTCTTATGTGGTATTAACAGTCTTATAAATGTAACGTGGTTTCTAAAACTATTAAGGAACTTTTATACGTGCTACTTTCAAACACAAAAGCATGCTTTACTTGTCACTTAGCAGCAAGTGTGTCGAAACGATGCTCAAAATTAGCATGCTATTGTCGAGCATACTTGCAGTTACATGCTATGGCATAGCAATGTAATGTGTACCTCTGCCTACTCCTTCGGGAATAAAACGTTATGTTATGATATTGTTTTTAAAATTATAAAAGTGATATGTCAGTAGGCATTGGTAGTTTTTATTAATTATTTTCATTGCAGGACTCATTCCTAAAGGCATAGTTTTAATGCTAATAGAAATATTTTTTCAAAATTATTAACATATGCTTTTTTCGCAGGTGATAAAAATGCTGGTTCTGGTGGTAGCACTCTTTGCTTTATGCTGGTTACCGCTACAGAGCTACCTCTTATTGCAATCTTTCTTCCCGTCGATAAATGAGTAAGTAGACTTCGTTCTAGATAAAGTTGTACACTAAATAAAAGACACAAAAGTAGATAACCTCAGTGAATTGTTTTGCGTCTAATTTTAATAAGAACGTTAATATAATCGTATCTAAATCATCATCTACATCAAGCCACTGCTGACCAAAGGACTCTCGCTTGAAGAAGATTTGACAAATAATAGAATAAAAAAATTATACACCATTAAAAATAATTGGCAGACGAAAGCGATTACTCAAACAATTTTCTAACATTATTTCAATGAAATCTATTACATTTTGATAGCATTCATTCACGAACACCAACGTTTTCTTAAATGAATTTTATTATCTGTCTGAGTGTGAACTGTAATACCAAATTCTATACCGCAGAAACATAAATATAATATTCAAGTAATAAATATACAGAGAAAGAAAATAAGGAAGCTTCCCGCTGTAGATTTGGTTTCGTATTATTTACTCGACATCGGGAGATGGATGAAGACATCAGCGAACAAGACAAATACAAACTGATTAACTTTATGGGAATAAGTTCACCGTTAATTTAAATTTCGCTTCGCAGTGAATGAAACGTTTTGCTATTTGAAACCATGATGAGATTTGCAAATTAAATTGTATTATTTTCTGTGAATAAGCCATAAAGATTATATTTTCATAGCTTTCACATGCAGATATAGAATCAAAATCTCATATAATATTATATTCATCGACATCGTTGTTGTTTGAACAGTGAATTATTATAATATATTTTGATAACTACAATACATCAGGCACAATTTCAAATATTAAAGTTTGTTAAAATAAATGTTTAAATTGAACATTATTTCCAGTTAGTAATTTTTCAATTTCGCTCTCAATAGTGAATTAATTGATTCAATATGTGAACGTACACTAAATGCACTGACTATAGACTTTCTAACGACTTTTACAAGTTTCAAATCAGTTATTTTATAGCAACGTTTTATAATTATCGATTTTATAAACACCAATAGAAAATAACTTTAGTAGTAGGCAGTAGGTACATACGTAGAAATAATAAAGAATCGTTTTTCATTACAACAAACAGATCGAACACAATAATAAAAAGGTAATTTTAATACATTCTGAGTCTTACCAGCTTTCAACTTACTAACTTATGAGAGTAAACGGTGAAAAACGCTAAACCATTTCAAAATTTTTTTCCTATTTTAGTAACTCCGTTTTTTCTAAACCTGCACCTAATTCAAATTCAAATTCAAATTCAAAATTTTTTATTGCATATCATGTGTACAATTGTTGGTGTTACATGAGGTACAGTTTCAACATGAAACCCGGCTAGGGCACAGCAACATATGGAGCAAAATATGATCTAACTAAACTACTATTAATAGTTATCATATTATTCTCACCTTTGTGTGGAGTTTCATGTAAATACAGAACTGTACATGATATACTAGAAGCTTAGATCCTAGGCTAAAAATACATAGTTAAATTATACAATAGACAATATATAATGGCTTACATATTCGAGTACTGGGCCATTGTTATGACATCAGCATAATAATAATATGCTACTATAAGTATGATATTTCATACCGTGTACTGTTGTCAGTTGATATTTTATAGAACGTATTAGTTTCTTACAAAAATATTCTAATTAATAACTATTCGAAAAAGAGAAATATTAAAGATTGACAGTGAGAATATTATTTTCAACTAGCGTTTCATATGAGGTCTATATTTTAATATTTGTAGTGATATAATTTTTTTTTTTTATTTTATACAAACCTTCTTACAAGTACACAACAAAAACGATCTTTATTTGTTTTAACAATATACATTGCCAAATTGACCAGAATTTTCTTTTCAGGTACAAGTACATCAATGTGCTATTCTTTTGCTTTGACTGGTTGGCAATGAGTAACTCTTGTTACAACCCGTTCATCTACGCCATTTACAATGTAAGTATAAATAACAAACTAAAAAAACCAAATAGTTTTCAAATTGATACTCATTTACCTACATTAAACTCAATTAAATAAAAATCGAATAATAAAAGCATAGCCCACACAATGACCGAAAAACATCACATTTTTTGTGTAAATATTCCATTATTGCTAAAGCAGTTATTTACTTTCGTGATTCTAAAAGTTTTTCGTTATCGTTTTATGGAATCAGCAGTTATAGTTTGGGAACATTAATGTTCACCCTTTTTTGAATAGCACGCAATAACCGTGTTATGTTTGAACCACTGATTTTCCTTAGATACTGCGTCACTTCTTTTCCCTCTCGAATAGATTCATCATATATGTACGGCGGTGTCCAACGCTGGTTTTTATAGGCTTTTTGAGCCGGGCCACACGCTGCCCTTTCAGCTTTATTCTCTAAGATTTCCCTAAAGAGACTTTCACAAGGAAGAGCGGAAAATTGTTTCTCTATATTATCTCTAAAACTGAAATTCAGCTCAGCGACCTTTGTGAACATTTATCATAAATCATCATAATTGTTTAACGTAAAATGTAAAAAAAAAATAATTAAAGATACATTATTTTGTTTACAGGAAAAGTTCAAGAAAGAATTTAAACAACGCTTCACATTCGGAAAAAAACCAAGTAGATTCGTAAACGATAGCTACGAGGTAAGATTTCCCTTAGTTAACTGAGTAGTGGAGACTTGGGGACTGTTTAAAGTACCAAAATTAGAGTGTTTTTATTCAAAAAACAATTCATTTTAGGATGGTCAGTCGTATAGAACACGGATATTATCGTTCCGGTCAACAAACGAGAGAAGTGGATACTCAACCAGAAAATCTATAAACTTGGCACCCACTGACACTTTGAAGGTTCCTTCCAGAAACTCATGCCACTGCATGAGTACACAGAATAGAGAAAATGGATTTAATTTTATGAAAACAGAAGACATGGAAGGACATGGAAATAGCAGAAGGTATTTAAATATACGAATGAGCAACACAGATATTGGCAAAAGAAGATTAGCAAAGAAGCTCTCGGGCAGAGAAGAAATGCCAATAGGCGACGAAAGAGTCAGTGAACTGTATATATTCCCTAACAGTAACATTGTAGAATTCACAGACATATCATACGATGACAAAGTGTAAATACGTTGAAATTCCATTACGTTTAGTATTAAATAATCGAACATGTGATGTGATAGAAATAATAATAATGTTAAACTATGACTGTATGATAAGATAACGAAGTAAAAAAATAATAATTTTAAGTCCTATTTTGTGGTTTTCTTTACCCATTTTTAATAACTATAATAGGTACCTACTTATTGGTTTACTTACATCAGCTGCCGAAAACTCAACTATGATACTAGCTGTTGGACTAGTCACAGTACCACTAGTAATCAATCATGATTAGGTATCAACAACCTAAGTTCATTAATGAAATTAAAATCTTGGCAGCAACTATTAAAGGTAAGCGATCAACATACCTCTAGTATACAACTTTACTTGACTTTTTACGGGGTCAAACGGTTCGGTTGATGGTAAGCAATCGGCGTCACCCATTGTCACTCGAAACCCAGAGCAAGTTACAAGTGCGTAACCGGCCTTTTGGGGATTAGGAATTTGAGGATTGTTAGGGATTCAGCGATTGGAGAGATCGGAGACGGAACAAACAACGCAAGCGTTGTTTGACGTCGGTTTTCTGTGAAGCCGTGGTATCACTCCGTTCGAGCCGACCCATTCGTGTCGAAGCGTGCTTATCCCACAATTATTAAAACTTGAATACAACCTAAAACTAGAAGTAAATGTTTCATCAATATTGAAACATATTAGTCATGTGGGATTTGGGGAAGAGTACAGCAATTCAAACTAGTAACAAGCTCCCGTACAAACAAGGTACCCTTATAATTTCATCATGCTTATGTGACTTGCGTCCATCTTATACAGAACTTCAAATTTGTTTTCTGAGAATTTCCGTCCATACAAACACTTGTTTGAAGTTCCATTCAGTTGTTTAATTTTAGACTTGCTTTCAATAAAGGTCCGATATGGGACATTTCAATAAACCTCACGGCTATTACGTTTAAGCATTATTGACACCACAGATATGCATTGACGAACGACAAAACCATATTTCATTACCAACAACCAAATGGATCCTGGTATTGTATGTACCTATTCAGTTTTAGTATAGTCGAGGAATTAATTAATGGCTACTTGCTCAATGGCTAAAACATTCTTCTGTAGAATTGACAAATATTTCTTGGAAAACAAATGAACGAACAATCCTACACATCATGACTATGAGATAATAATTCTAGTAATTATTCATTCTCCACCAAACTCATTTTTACAGTTTCATTCACCAATAAAACGGAATCACGTGGATGTTTCTCTGTGTGGGATATTTAACTATCGTTTATAAATAAACACTTTTTAATACGAGACTTCTTAGAACTAGCAAATGTAAAAGTAGTAAAAATTCCATTCGCTGTACGCAGTGGCGATAAACTTCGGAGCACGTAACTCTATTATATTAGCAACGAAACCAAAATATAGATGTGAAACTTTAATACAAAGAGAATACAAGACACTGACACACATCATCAATAATTTTATAGGAATTTATTCTTTAAAAACAGAGTGACCGGCCAAAAGACTAAACGATTACAAAACACTAATATTTATACACCATTTTACTCATCGAAAATGCAAGTTTTTAGTAGGATTGTTATGATTCTGTATGGGTCCGCGTTGGCCGCGGGACGTCGATCTTCGAAGTATCCCTTTTTATCCTCAGAGACGTGACGAGGTATTCTCACAGAACAACTCCTGTTAGCCACACCTGCAACGAAAATTACTTATGCTAATTACAATAGAACTTTCGCCCACGAACGTTTGTTCAACTATGACGCATGTTTGAGCGAAAACAGTTTAATTTTGAAAATGTATGAATTAAAGCTAGTATCAAACAAGATCAGTAGGTTTAGCTAAACTGGAGTAGATTTTCTTAATTGACTGATACATGACTGGTACTTTTAATATCCCGCATTCCGCTTCGATCGCAAACAGTAAGTAAATAAATATAATGTACAAGTATAAGTACATTCTGCCTATCCCTTAGGTGCGCTGCAATAGCTCTACTCAAAGATAAAGTACCGAAACCCCGAATTCTAAAAAGCTACTCGATTTTAAGTTACACTTAAATATCGTGCTATTTCTGTCATTTTACAAAGAATTTGTAAGCGGACATCGGTGACCGCAACCTATTGTTCTATAATTGTGTCTATAATGACGGTACTTGACGAGTTAAAGAAAAAAATTATTAAAATAAGGTATATATAAAATATAAAACTAAACTTGTTTTTAGAATACCTACCATCATACAAAATGATTGATATGCAAGCAATCAGTCAATAATATTATTCCACCTACGTACGATACACGCAAAACTTTAGCGTGTGGTGGCTTAAATAAAACCAACTAAAACTGCGTAGGAACCCAAATAAACAAGTTGTGTTGTTGATAACACGTTAACAAAATCACGTGAAAATTCTTCATGATTTGCTAGAACTCTGTATTTGCTTGTATCCCACATAATGTGTGTCCAATAAACAAAGAACTCTGAATTGCATTTGCGTCCGACTTTTATTGCTATTTGCATTTATTTTATTAAAAAAATATAATTAAGATCCTTACATCCGCAGAAGATATTTACTGTGTGTATACAATCCAGATTAATAGCATCTCCCAAAACAAACAAGCTCGTTTTGTAAAAAAAAAAACACATGCAAACGATTTTGATCTGTCAGAAGTATACAGAGATATTATTTTTGCATTACAAGATAACCAACGTCATCTTGATCCCTTGAAAAGCTTATAAGCGTACGCAAAAAACATTCCGTGACCTTTGGCCTTAATATCTCGCAACGTTGCACACGCTGAAGTGATGTGGAGAGGGATACGGACTTTTTGGCGTACTTGTTTATAGACATGTGTAAAGTCAGCAAGTTATTTAGCAAGCAGCAAGCAGCTAAGAAAATAAATAATGATTAAGTATTGAGACAGTAACTGTAGCTATTGTTATTTATACTAAATAGAGTAGTTTCCTAAGTTTTATTTTAACGTTCGTCTGGTAGACTAATTTAAAACATTAAACACTTATTTTTGCATTGCTCACAAAATTAAATACTTTCGACAATATATTAATTTTAAATATCGTGCGACGTCACGACCTCCCCACTCCTAAAATTAACTCCATTTTAACTAAGGGTTGTAACTTTATACGAGAAAATAAAAAAATACGGATATAATATATTTATATTATTTAAATGAAGGACTCATTTGATTCTTTATTTTCATATCCTGTCAACTACCCTATTGTATGTTTTATGACGAAAACTCTTGTAATAATAGATTGACTCAGCAGTCAACCAACGGTTGCTGTATCTACACTAAACCAATCTCCATTTTGTTCCCTGCATAGCTTCCCTGCATAACTTGGCTGACTGTACCTACATAATATGACATACCTTACTGAAATGTAGCTTACAGTCAGCCAAAATGTACGTTCAGAACAATGAATGATTCGACCGGTGTGAATATACCTATTTATTAACTTTATTTCTTGCGTTGTTGCTCGACTATATTGAACAAGGGGCCTGCATTTAATTTCCGGGCCGGAAAAACCGTATTCAGGATTTTACGGTTTTTAGAAAATTATTCAGTAAAAAGACCGGAACCCGAATTTGGGACCCGTGTATGGCAATAGGCTCACCCCTTATTACATAATACTCATAACATAACTGCTGAAAAGTTGGTGGCACATTCAATATTTATATAATTGAAACAAAACTTTATGCAGTT